TTCAGCATTACAAATAGTTAAGTATGGAAAATTCCTTTAATGTTCTAATTGCGCTTTCTCATTTGATTATAATGATTACTCATGGCTTTGGCTAGATTAAATCAGTTATAGTCAACTAAATGCATATCAAATGTACATAACTCTTAGCCTGTCTTCTTTCCCTGCAACTAACTCCTCAAAATCCCAGAGGGGATTTTCTAATTCATCATCAAAGAGAGATTAAACACTGATATGGAAGTTCAAAAATATGACTGTATAATTTTAGTTTAAATATACATGCTACATAAAAAATAAACAAAAACTTTCTCCGAGTGTTAAAAGTTTGCAATAGAACCTTATAAAAGGCAAAGAGCATTGGGAAAATCATTAACCACTAGCTCACCAAGAAATCAAAGTCTTATTTCATGATCAAACTATGTGAACACCAATCATCTTGTTGCTGCCCCAAAGCACATTTTTATTGTTCTAAGTCCTTTTAAAAAACTGAATATTAAAGAAACATTTAGAAAATAAGGAATTCACAAAAAGAAAAAATAAGAGATAAAGTACTTTTACAAGGCAACTGACCCATATGTTTTTTGAATCTTTTAGCTTACTGTAGAGACTTGTATAGTGTTTCCTTACACCTGAAACAAGGTGGTCAAATCAGTGCACTGTCCACTTGACAGAGACCTCCATGACCACAGACAATATAGGAGGTAAGGATTCCAGTTTGAGGTCTCCTAGTTGTAGCAGGACTCTGTGAAGCAGGACTGCCTTAGAGGTAACTTGGCTGCTACCGTTCACAAAAATAAGCAGAGACATACAATGTCTTCTTAACGTCCAATTAATTTGACATGCTTGCTTGTTTCTTACAAACCCAAATACACAGAAGGTGGGGAAAACAGAAAGTGTGCTGAACTAGAAAGTAGAGTCCTTGAGCAAATCACTTAATGTGTTTCTTTGGTTTTTCATCTATGAACTACAGGAATAAGTACTTAATGCCAAGAAGCTAGGTCTGGTCTTCCTGATCCTAGGCCACCCATTAATATCCTATCCTTCCCACCCCCTCAATACACAGGGTAGACAGGGATGGGCAACTTGGACACTGACTATCCAAAATGGGGGGCTACAACAGCAGGAAGTGACTGGCTTACAAGCTTTCAAGAGGGAGCCTAGATCCAGAGGGCATGGAGTAAGGTAGAATCTCCATAGAGCAGTATCCATCTGTATGGGTGGGCTTAATGAAAGGAGATGGGGATGACTCTCATGTGGAACAATAGTGAATAATTGCTATTAGTACAGACTGTGAGAGTTGGAAATGTAAAGGTAGACATTTTGTAGCAAAAGGAGGGGAATGGTTAACTTTGCAGTCCAGGAGTGGAGGTCCCTGGGACTATCAAGGATTAAAAGTGCAATGTAGGACCCTACCCAAAGAAGCAGTGACACCAGTGATGGAGGCAGAGACAATGACATGGAGAGATGGAGCAGCTGGGGACTCTAGACGCAGAGAGGGAGAGGAGCTGTGTGCTGACGACCGGGGGGCAGGCTTGCAAGGTATACCCTTTGGTTGGTTGATGATGCATGGAGGGTATTGTAACCATGGCAATAAAACAATATACGATAGGATGAATGTAAAACTAATGTTCTCCCATGTAAACTATCACATAATTCACAATAAAACATTAAAAAAAAAAAATCCTATCCTGGGGCTTCCCCTTTGTACAAAACTATGGCTCTGCCCTCCAGTAGAGCACAAGTTATTCATGTCAGACGCTTCACAATGTCTTAACTTTCTCCATTTTATAATCTAGGGGGGAGGAGTTAATGGGACATTTCTATGCTTGTAAATTTTATTTTTGGAAGATAACAAAAAATATACTAGGGAAATGCTTCAAGAGAGCCATGGATACAAATCCACCTGATATATGTAGTCACTGCACAATTCCTTCTACAAGACTATGTCATCATTTTTGTTAACTTCTTATTGTGACTTGGGTGAAGGTTTACAGAACAGATTACCAGTTTTATTTTACAGAACAGAATTTTTAAACAATTCGTACACATTTTGCTTATGCTCACTAACTGCAATCCTCACAATGAAAATCACTTTTTCCACTTTCTTCCTGTGTTTCCTTTCCTTTTTTTTTCTTAACCCTTTGCTCACTGTCCTTTGGTAAACACAGCCCTTTTCATCTCAACTGGTTGATTACTCTAAGGTGTATCTCACTAGTGTTTCTGTTCCCCTTATAGACCTGTCTATTGTTTGGCTGAAAATTAAGCTACAAGGGTGAGTTCAGTTCCAGACCTAAGAAAACGACCATAGTGTCAGGGGTTCCCCAGTCTCTGTTCAACCAATAAGCCTGGTCTCTTTTATGGTTTTTACTTTCATTCTACATTTTCTCCAACCTTGTCAAGGACAATCTATTGTGATCTCTTTCAGAGCAGTTGGTAGTGGTAGCCAGGTACCACTGAACTCTGGTCTCAGGGTCAGAGAGATTTATGTTTGTGTGGTTCATTAATCCATTGGACTAATTACTTGCATGGATCTCCTATTTTCGACACTCTTCTTTCCTCCAGATAAGGAGAGACCAACAGTGGCACTTAGATGGCTGCCCACAAACTTGTGGCACTGTAGGACAAGCACTGGACTGTGAACCACAGGTCAGTGGTTCACACCCATTAAGTGCTCCTCAGAAACTCATGGTTGCTATGAGTGGGAATCTATTTGACAGGACTTAACAACAACATGGATTGAATTGTGTCTCCTAAAAAGATACGTTGAAGTCCTAACCCTAGGATGTAGAATATTCTTCATAAACTGTGTTGTGCCAATTGACTATGCTCCTGAGCCTTTAGGCCCAGTGACTCATTCCCTCAATGTTTTTAGTTATGTCTAAGGAGCTCTGGTAGCGTAGTGGTTAAGAATCGAGCTGTGAACTACAAGGTCAGCAGTTCGAAACTACCAGCTGTTCTACAGGAGAAAGATGAGGCGTTCTGCTCCTATAAAGATTTACAGCCTTGGAAACCCTATCAAGGGTCGCTATGAGTCAGAACTGACTCCATGGCACACAGCCACCACCCAGAAGTTTTCACAAGTTTGCCGTGTTCTCCTTCATATTCATGTACATATTTCCAGCAAAAGTAAATACTTATGTACAAATATCTTCTGTCAAACTGCATGGCACACAAGGATGCATCTACCTAACCTTCTCTCTCCTTCACTTGGAGCCAGACTTGCATCTGGTTAAAAGATTTTCCCAGCCTTTTCCAACTCCTTTCCTATGATTTCCTTTCATGTAAGCACTTCTCTTAGTAACATTCTTGAAATTTAATCCCATCTTGATGTCTACTTCTCAGAGGTTCAACTAAACACATTAGTCCTTCACTTACTTATCCACTTCTTCATTCATTCAAGACATACTTACTTAACGTGCAGAGTGCTCCCTGGAGGCCGAATGGCCAAACTTCATCTATCATACTTTGGACATATTGTCAGGAGGGGCTAGTTGCTGGAGAAGGATATCATGTTTGGTAAGGTGGAGAGTCAGAGAAAAAGGGGAAGACCTGCATCGAGATAGACTGGCCAAATGGCGGCATCGATGGAGTCAAGTGTGGTAACAGTAGTGAGGTTGGCCCAGGATTGGGCAGTGTTTCGTTCTGCTATGCATAAGTTCGCTATGGGTCGGTACCAACTAGATGGCACCTAACAACAACAACATTTCTGGCACTTTGTCTTACGCGCCAGGGAGAACAGTAAAGGAGACAGGAAAGGCCCTTATGCTCAAATCCCTCACCCTCATTGGAAGAGCTGCTTCCTTTCTTCAACTTTGACTGTATATTAGGCTCTCAAGTTAAGAGCATTTCCCATGTCCAGTCTCACCTGCTGTTCACAACAACCTGAAAGAAGCTATTATTTTTATTTCACAGATAAGGAAACTGAGACTTAGATAAAGTCATCAAGGCCTTCTCAGAAAGTGACTGTTGTTGTTAGCTGCCCTGGTTCACAGTGACCCCATACACAACAGGATGAGAGGCTGGTCCTGTATCATCCCCACATGAGTCACTGGGAATCAGACTATGATGATCCATAGGTTTACTTTGGCTGACATTTGGAACTGGTCCAATAGGTCATTCTTTCTAGTCTGCCTTAATCTGGAAGCTCAACTGAAACATATTCAGCCTCACACAAGCCTCCACTGACAGACGAGTGGTGTCTGCAAGAGGCACACTGTACACAAACCACACCAAGTGTCTAGTATGGAAGGTAAGAATATTGCCTATGAATTACAAGTGCCAAGAAGTGATGGGGCCACACTGTTTAATTCCAAAACTCATGTTTTCAACCCTTGGGCTATCACACACCTCCCCCCATTTGGGTGGCAGTTCTCTGCATCCTCCACCACCACCCTCCTGGAAATTATTATACAATTAAATTGCCGATTTCCCCAAAGCTGGCTTCACTTCTTCAATTTAAATTTATGAGGGCCAGGAAAAGCATTTATGAAAAAGGAAACTCAAGTGTTTCAGAGAATTCACAGCTCCTATACGTTGCACTGCGTGCTAATGTGTCAGGCTGCAAAGTCGTTTGAACTGCAAGGTTGGTGGTTCAAGCTCATCAGTGCCTCCTTGGAAACCCTTTACAGGGTCACTATGGGTCAGAATTGACTCAACGGCACTTAACAACAACAATACTTTGCCAAAGTCAAGTTAATGATGACATCATTTAACCCAAGCAGAAGAAGGCATCCCTCTCCTGGTGAGTTTCTAACTCATCTTCACTTTTACAAAACAGACATGAGAAGACAGCCCAATCCCCTTGACTTCTCGGTGTTTATTCCTGATCACAGCCCAGCGCTGGCAAATTGATGGCAGATGGTCACATACATTCCAGGCTTCTCTATGAGGTCACCCAGGAACCAGTACACACGGACCACCACCATCCCTCCAGTCCCCCCCTTTACATCAACCCATTAGTGTCAGCTGAGAGCACCCTTCTGAATACACATGAAAACTCATACCATGCTCTCCAAGGTCAGCTGTGTTGTCCTCTACACGGGGTTCAAGTTCCACCAGGTTCAGGGAAGGAAGGAGCTGAGACTCAAGTAGAGTCTTTGAAGTTGGTTCATCCAATTCCTGGCAGAAGGTAATCAACAATTCAGGAGAAGCTAACAGATGGAAATAGCCCTGTCACAAATGAAACAATGTTCTTCTTCGAAAACTGTTTGGAAATTAAAGCCTCTGTGTATGGTGCTGTGGGTTACTGTGCTGGACTGCAAAGATGGTTTGAACCAATAGGTCAGCAGTTTAAGCTCACCAGCTGCTCCTCAGAAACTCTATACAGGGTCACTGTACCAAATTGACAGCACTTAACAACAACAATCCTCTCTCTTAAGCCTATTTCCATCAAGGCTATTTGGACTCATAGTGATCCTATTGGAAAGAGTAGAACTTCCTCATAGGATTCTAAGACTATGAATCTTTATGGGAGAAGACTGCCACATAGCTCTCCCAAATAGCATCTGGTGGGTTTGAACTGCTAACCTTACAGTTAGCAGCCCAACACTCAACCCACTACATCACCAAGGCTCCTTTAAACATGATAAAATTTTAAATTAAAGGAAGGCAGCTGGGGACCAGGACTAAGGAAAGCAAGCAAATGAACAAGGTGCAAAATTGAAGGTTGTTGCATAAGTGAAAATGAGTACTTCCTTACATTTGGAACCCAGGACATTCTCTAACCTTATTCTTGGTGGCCTTGCTCACTTTCTTCATCTCAAAATGGAAGGTTCTGGTTTGAGTGACTTCCAAGGTCTCTTGTTGTACAAGTTCTGTGATACTATGAAAGGCCTCCTGGTGGTGCAGCGGGTTATGCATTGTGCTGCCCCCCCACAAGTCAGCAAGCCCACCAGCTGCTCCATGGGAGACAGATGATTCTGTCTGCTCTTGTAAAGATGTGACATCTTGGAAACCCTAAGGAACAATTCTATTTTATTCTATAGCGTAGCTCTGAGTCTGAACTGACTCAATAGGAGTGGGTGGGTGATTTTATAAATTGCAATTTCCTAAAAGAAAGACATCTAAGAGGCCACAAAAACTAAAGGTTTCAAACTAAAAAAAAAAAAAAAAAGTCAAACATCTCCAATATATTAATAGCTATTTCAATCAACTATTTTGCCTTTTTTATTTTCCTTTTTGTATATGTGTGTATTTGCAATCGAGAACTGGTGCTGAATCAGCCTGTTTTCCTTGATAAATAGCTTTCTTGGTGAACAGCTCCAAGAACGTCTTCTTATTAAAGGCAGAATGGAAAGTTGAAACTAATCTGAAAAGAAAAAGTAAAATGAAGACCTGTCATGCTGTAGTGAGGAATTTGTGAGAAAGCATCCTTGCATTATTTTTTAAGAAGTCTTCTTCCTGGACTGTATAATAAGTATTTAAGGAGGCAAAATCAGTTCCAAATATCAAAGGTGCACCGATGCCACACAGAATACTTTTAAGAACAAAGAACAGAGGGTGTGTGAAATGTGTCTTTATATGTATTTCAGATACTATTTGAAAAATAAAAACTTGGACCCTTAGTTGACTTTGATTTGCTGTGGGTCTCTTTAAAGAGAACAGAACAAAATTATTATAATTGCTTCTCTTAGAAAGAGAAGGGCTTGATTTGATCTTGGATTCCCATCACCATGTCACATAAAAGGGCCTGGCATCTACATACTGCTCAGAGAACTCCACTTGGGGCATCAGCATAAACTCCACTTGGGGCATCAGCATAAACAAACATTTATGCTACAGCATAAAAGAAAGTCTGAAACTGCCTTGTCTATTATAGAATCGAGTTGTTTTTAAGCTACCATCCTTTAATGAAACGGTGCCAAACATGATTTCAATTCCACATGTGATGGTCCTTCAAGATTGTTAAGCCCAAATTCTGTCAAGCAGAAAATGCCTGCAGAAATAAAAGGCTCTGTCTGATAGGCTCTGAAAACAAAGCAAGGATCTCTAAAATCCCTCAAAGAATTTTCATAGTATGTTTCAGAGGTGACATAGCAAATCCCTCATCTTCCCGTAACTCTGATCCTATCTCCTGCAACAGCATTTGAGATATAAATTATGTGTTCAGTTCTGCAAGAGAGAAGAAAGATGCATCAGGAAGAAATAAAATCACAAATTAGTGTATTGGTAAAAGGGGAAGAGGTACTCAAAAATGGGTAGAGCATCTTCCTTTCCGTCTTCTGGTCCTTCTTTATCATGTTTCTTTTTAACCTCTTCCATCTGGTTAGTCCAATTTCTTTCTTTTATTTCATCTTTTCCAGTTCAATGATACCTTTCCCTGAGATGTTTAAAACCCTCCAGTTCCTCTGCAAAGTGTTTTCTGCTTCCTGTTTTCTTTCTCGTTTGTTCTCTGAATATCATTAGATCTGCCTCATTCTTATGCCTGTGAATATGATTAATCTTGCCTCTTCCCTGCCTGGTCTCTTCTCTTCATCCTCTTCCTGGGGTGAACAAGAAAGCCTTCCCTCAGGTTGTGCCTCCTTTTTGTCTGTCCCTATTAAATGCTTTTTTTTTTTCCTACAGAGATAAGAAAGCTTCTTCATTGGAAGCTTTTCCAAGTACTCATTCATCTAGGAGGTGAGCTGCTGCTTTCAGGAGTCCTGGTTTCCATCCCTTATTAATCAGTGTGACCCATGGACCCGCAGCATCAGAATCACCAGGGAATTTCTTAGGAAACCAGTATCCCTGGCACCTCCCTAGACCAAGTGAATTAGAGTCTACATTTTCACAAGATCCATAAGCGATTTGGGTACCACACTGAAGTTTGAGAAGTACTATTACTGTGTTGTTGTTAAGTGCCATTGAATTGGTACCAACTCACAGAGACTCGTACAGGGTTTCCAAGGAGTGGCCAATGGGTTTGAATCGTCAACCTTGAGGTTAGAAGTCCAGTGCTTATCCTACAGCACCACACCAGGACTCCAGTACAGACCATTAAGAATTTGGAAGAGGGCCAATTCTGGATGTGAGATGTCAAAGAGGGGTTTCCTGAGGAGAGGTGACAATTGAGAGAGAGGAAGTGAAATACGAACAATGGGATACCCAGGGGGAAATGGCAGGTACGGGTACCGCTGCACAAAAACAGACTGCACAAAAGAGGTCAAGAAACTGGGGCGGAGTGAGCAACCTTGTTTGTGTGACTGAGTCAGTCAGAGAAAGGGCATCATCTTAAACAGGACACTCAATTCCATAAAGAGGACATTAAAAAGCCAAGTAACTGTCTGAAGCATTGCATGTCCCTAATCAAGATGCAAATTTAGGAAACAAGCGAAGACAAAGCCAGGGCTCAAAGATGTGGATGATACTAAGTTTTAGCAGAGCAAAGAATATGGCAAGGCCTCTGCCTAAGATGGCATCAGACATTTCCCCTCCTGACTCCTTTGCTCCTTGCTGATGGAAAGGGGGTGTAACTGCAAAGACTTGCAGAAGTTACAATTTGGGCATTCATAAAATTCATATACTCTTGGTGAACTGTGCCAAGACCAGGACATTCTGTCAGACTCCCATGCTTTGTGTGATGTTGCTGTTGTTGCTTAGTGCTGTCAATTCATAGCGACCCTGTACAGGGTCTCCGATGAGCAGCTGATGGGTTTGAACTGCCAACCTTATAGTTCACAGTCCAGTGCTGCTCGTACAGCACCACAACACAAGTCCACTCTGTGTGACAGCATAAGGCTAACAAAATCTCTGGAAAATCTGCCTGATTTATGGTCTCAGTTACTGAAAGTTACATAAAGTTACTATTCTCGAAAGAGTTAGAGTCTCAGAAACCCTATACAGGGTCACTATGAGTCGGAACCAACTTGGCGGCACACAACCACCACCAATCAAAGTTACATCAGCTCCCCCAAAGAACCCTGATTTGTAGGGGTGACAGGACCTCCTACAATACAGTCATATAAAATTATAATAATTACATCAGATATAAAAAAAGAACACAAAAATGATTATTTTGAAGGGTTAAAGAAGAAAACCAAAGAGTTCACTGTTAGATACTAGCATTTTAAGATCATACTTGAAAATAAATTTTTATATATTTGCTACATGATAACTTCAAAAATCAAGTCACTTAGATTCATGAAACAAAATATTACCATGTCTAGACTTCTTAATTTTCAATCCTCAGGAGAAAATCACATAGAGTCAGGAGTCTCTGAGTATTCCAGAAAAAAAAGTCCCATTTTCTACCAGTTGACTGAATAAGTAGCTTATACAGATTAACAAGAGGTAGCATATATTCAACAGGTAATGATACTGAAGGAAGAAGTCCAAGGTGCATTGAGGAATTGACAAAGAACAAAGGCACCAGGAAATGATGGGATAAAAATTGAAATCTTACAACAAAGTGAGGCGGCACAGGAGGCACTCACTCATCTATGCCAAGAAATTTGGAAGACAACTATCTGACCAGCTGATTGGAAGAGATTCGTATTTATGCCCATTCCAAAGAGAGGTGACCCAACGGAATGAGGAAATCATCGGACAGTATCTTTGATATCCCATGTAAGTAAAGTTTTACCAAAGGTAACACAGAAATGGCTGCAAGTTTACATTGACAGAGAATTTCCACAGGTTCAAGCCAGATTCAGAAGAGGCTGTGGAACAAGGGTTATAATTGCTAATGTCTAATGGATCTTGGCTGAAAGTAGAGAATACCAGAAAGATGATTACCTGTGCTTTATTGACTATGCAAAGGCTTTTGATTGTGTGGATCATGACAAGCTATGGACAACATTAAGAAGTATGAGTATTCCAGAACACTTAATTGTGCTCAAGAGGAATCTGTACATGGATCAAGAGGAAGTGCTTCAAACAGAACATGGAAACACTGAATGGTTTAAAATTATGAAAGGCGTGCAAAAGCATTGTATTCTTCACCATACTTATTCAACCTGTATGCTAAGCAAATAATAAGAGAAGCTGGATTAAATGAAGAAAAACATGGCATCAGGATTGGAGGAAGACTCATTAACAACTTGTGATATGCAGATGATACAACCTTACTTGCTGAAAGTGAAGAGGACTCAAAATACTTACTGATAAAGATCAAAGAGCACAGCCTTTGGTATGGATTACATCTCAATGTCAAGAAAACAAAATTCCTCACCACTGGACCAATAAACAACATTCTTATCAATGGAGAAAAGATTGAAGTTGTCAAGGACTTCATTCTTCTTGGGTCAACCATCAACACACATGGAGCAGCAGTCAAGGAATCAAACGACGTATTGTACTAGGCAAATCTGCTGCACAGGATCTTTTAAAGTGCTGAAGAGCAAAGATGTCAGCTTGAGGACTAAGGTGTGCCTGACCCAAGCCATGGTATTTTCAATAACCTCATATGAGTGTGCAAGCTGGACAGTGAATAAGGAAGACTGCTTTTGAGTTATGGTGTTGGAAGAGAATATTGAGGGTGCCAGGGGCTGCCAAAAGAACCAACAGATCTGTGTTGGAAGAAGTGCAGCCAGAGTGTTCCTTGGAGGCCAGGATGGCTAAACTTCGTCTTTCATTCTTCAGACCTATTGTCAGGAAGGACCAGTCTCTGGAGAAGGATATCATGTTTGGTAAGATGGAGGGTCAGAGAAAATGAGGTAGACCCACAGTGATATGGATTGGCAAACTGGCAGCATCAATGGGCTCAAGTGTGGCAACAATTGTGAGTTTTGCCCAGGATCGGGCAGTATTTCGTTCTGTTGTGCATAGGATCACTATGAGTCAGAACCTACTCAATGGCACCTAACAACAACAACATACACCATACACTTGGACTCCTGGTGTGGCGCTGTGGGTTAATGTGCTGGACTGCAGAGTCAGTTTGAACTTCAAGGTCAGCAGTTCAAACTCACCAGCTGCTTCTTAGGAATCCTATACAGGATCACTATGGGTTGGAACTGATTCAACAGCACATAACAATAACAATATACATTTGCCTTGCTTGTTAAAAGAGACGAGACTTGAGACAGCCAAGCAGAGGCAGTGACCCAGCTCCAGAAGCTGTGGAGCAGTGTGCCTGAAGGGAGAAGTGTGACTGATTTTTCATCTTTCACTTTTCATTTTTCATGTATCTCCCCTCTTCACCCTGATCACGCCCTCACAGCACAGCCCAGACACCTTCAGGTAGGCAGGAGCACACCCCCAAAAGGGTCCAGCATTGCACCTATAGTTTTCCAACGGCACAGAGAAGAAAACCCACAATCTGCTTCTTATGACGTTTTGACCCTGGGGTCCTGCTGCATAGTTTACCTAGGCAGAACCCTTTGCACAGCAAAGGCCAGTGAACAATGTCAATAACAATTTTATTTTTGTTTTTGATTGTGGTTTCTGACTCTGCTTTTATACTGTTTCTGTCTTTGGTCCTTTTGGCCTCACTCTTCTCGCAGGGGTGGAAGCTTTCTCCCCCTACCTTACCCAAGAAGAGACAGCAACTGTACCCATATAGTAAAGTTACAAGCATACCCTGTAGTACCTAACAAGGTATTAGGTACTACAAGAACCTGGACAAGAACCAAAACCAGCTGCTAGGCATTACATGTGAAAAGGGAATCCTATTTTCAGATCATATCCATTAGGAGACACTCAGCAAGCTTAACAAAAAGCAACATACATCCATTTAAGCATGAAAAACTCACATAACTGTTGAAAATGCCCAAGAAAACACAATTAAAGATATCAACACATGTCCAAAATAAGAAAAAAAAAAAAAAAGTAACTGAGACAAATGAGCTGGAAGCACACACAGACTTTCCAGTAGAAGAGCAGACTCTGGACCTGCCTGAGAAGGAATTCAGAAGAATAATATGGAAACAAATTCAAATGTTCCATAAAGGGGTGGAGGAAAATAAGGAAGAAGTCAGCAAAGTGCTACCAGAGCAATCAAACAAGGTAGATATGGTACTGGAAACAATCCAAAACTTGCAAAAAGAAGTCCACATGATTAATAATAAAATGTCAGAAACGGACAATACACTGAAATGGGAAAGGAGCAGAACTGAAGAGATGGAAGTCAGAACTAGAGAGCTTGAAGACAAATCTCTTAATACTGCTAAGACAGGAGAGCAAGTAGAAAAAAGGATTAAAAACTTGAAGAGAATCTAAGATTCATGCTGGATAACATGAAGAGGAATAACTTAAGAATTATTGGCATTCCAGAACAGGAAGAATCACATAAGTCCACAGAAGGGATAGTTGAAGAGCTACTGGAAGAAAATTTTCCTAACATCTTGAAGGATTAGAAGATAAACATTCAAGAAGCTGAAAGAATCCCAGGAAGGATAGACCACAAAAGAAAATCACTGAGACATATCATAAACAAACTTTACAAAATCAAAGACAAGGAGAGAATCCTAAAAGCAGCCAGGGAAAAGAGAAATGTCACCTACAAAGGCAAGCAAATCAGATTAAGCTCTGACTTCTCAGAAGAAACCATGCAGGCAAGAAGGCAATAGGGAGACATATATAAAACCCTAAAAGAAAAAAACTGCCAACCAAGAATCATCTATGCAGCAAAACTGTTAAATGGTGCAATCACAACATTCCAAGATAAATAGAAGCTAAGAGATTTTGTTAAAGCCAATTCAGTGCTTCAAAACATCCTAAAGGGAGTTCTTTGGAATGAAAACCAGTAAGAATGGACAACAACCAGATATCGACAGATGTGGAAACACCACCACGTACTCGGTCGATGGACAGCGGAATTCAGAATGGAACAAAATTACAACAATGAATTCAGAGGACGTGTGAGGCCAAACAAAGATAAAAATATTAACAATATTAAGTAAGGGAAAAATATAGGAACAGAGTTCCAGGTGGTGAGGAGGTTGAGTACATGGCAGCACATAGACTGTCTTAAACGCAGGGAAAACTTATCAGACTATAAGGTAAGCCCAAATAAATTTAGTACTTCACAACTTACCATGAAAATGAAAATTCAAGGAGAACAAGGAAACATTAAAACAAAGAAGAAACTGACAAAACAATAGCACAAAAAACAAACACAACACAAGAAGCCATGCAGAACAAAGGAACAAACAATACTAACAAAAACTTAACATAATGACA